TGGCTTGATATACTTGCTCTGGCTGCACTAAGTAACTTGTGGATTCCAGCAAAATGACCCTGGAGTAAGGCAAACACACATGACCACCACATATTTAACTTGTAAAATGAAGAATAAACTCAAGTTTATTTTACCTTTTAAATGAAGGCTTGGTAAAGAAGCATATTATTTTCAATTTGGGATGTTTCAAAACTACTTTAAAATTTTGGAATTTTTTTTTTAAATGTTCAATTATTAATTCATTTTTCTGTATTTAATAACTGAAAACATTTTGCACAATTTAAGCCAAGTGATTTTTAAAGCTCATGTAAGTATGGAAAATCCTAAGACACTTATTCAACAGTTATTTGGAAATATCATAAACTACTACCTCATCAATACCATAGATTGATTTGTAAACATAGGGATGGTCTACAGCCACCTCATTACATGTAGATCAATTTTCAGTTTTCTTTTCAAAAATGTTCCAAAAAGAAAAAATTAAAATCAGAAAAATAATGTCCATTTCAATATTAAGACACATTTTAAATATTTTTTTAAATTTTAAACCATTTTCTAAAATTTAACTTATACTCTCTGTACTAAATTAAATGATTGAATAACTGATCCATTTAAATTTGAAGAAAAAAAAAAGCTGTTAATTTTATTTTGCTTTTTTAAATAATGAATCTATTAAGACAGACGAAACTGATTTTCCTGTCCAATGGCAAACAACTGATTCACTTCATTTTTGCCTAAAAAATTCTGATCTTTCTTTTTATGAGAATTATGTTGTGCACACATTATTTTCATTCTATGGACTGGATAATCCATTGACCTACTCCTAGTGATTCGTCAAGAATTAGTTTTTGTTATGCCTGCAGATCTTCTCTCACATGGCACCAGCACACGTAATTCATTAATTTTAAACCAGACTTCTGCTTTTTTTCTGCAGAGACAGTAAAAACAGAAGAAACAGTACGTAGTGAAACTACAAAAGCCAGTGTCAACTAGCTTAGATCTAGCTGTGAATTACATTTCACACTTTTAAATATAGTTATGACTATTTACATCAGCATTACTTGATTCTCTGCTCAAGTGTTTAATCTGCCATTTTTTAAAAACAAAAGATATAATTACCATTGTTTACTATAGCATCTTATATTATAGAAATACCTTTCTTGGGAGATAGAATGCCACAGTACTTCACAAAGAAGAGTAACAGAGTATTTTTTTAATACTCAAGTAATTTTTCTTATTGAAGTACAAACATTCCATAATCTTCAAGATATACATATATATATAAGCTTTTAAAGCTAGGAACTGTAAAAACCTCAAAACACAATTTAGTTGATAGAATGGGCAAAATCTAAAAAATAGCCAAATCCTAGGAAAAGCCTAGTTTAGTGCGCAGAATTTACACCTTTTGGAACTATCTGATATTTGCTTTGTGTTTGACACAAGGTCAAAGAAGCACTCCTATTTTTAATTTATCCTGTTCTGAAATCATACTACATTGTATACCCAGTTTTAAGATTTTCCCGTCCAGTGTTCTGTCAAAGAGCCACCTCCTTGGTATCTCAAGTGCATTTCCGAGTGTTATTTGCAACTAAGCAGTGCACTCCCTAATGGTTCAAAACCCTAGAAACACTATACAAAGAGTCTTCTATTTTAGACTACTGGTTCAAATGTGCCCAAATTTATAATTACTTCAAGTAACTGTCAAGCAGGTTTTGAATGTTATGCATACACCTAAACTTCTTAGTCATATTTATCTGTTCTTTCCAAGAGAGTTATCATAGAATCACATAATAAAATAGTTGATAGAGACTTTAAAGATCATTTTGTTCCATCCTCCCCTGCCATGGGCAGGGACATCCCACACTAGACCAGGTTGCTCATCCAACCTGGCCTTGAACACTTGCCGGGACGGGGCTTCCATAATTTCCCTGGACAACCTGTTTCAGTGTATCACCAACCTCACACTAAAAGTTTTCCTCCTAGTGTCTAATCTAAATCTCCCCTCTTCCAGTTTTGATCCACTATCTCTTGTCGTCTCACTACAAGCCCTTGAAAAAAGTCCCTCCCCAGCTTTCCTGTAGGACCCTTTCAGGTACTGGAAGGTTGCTATGAAGTCCCCCTTGAGCCTCCTCTTCTCCAGGGTGAACAGCCCCAACTGTCTCAGCTTGTCTTCATAGCAGAGGTGCTGCAGTCCTCGAATCATCTTCGTGACCATCCTCTGGACTTTCCTCCATGAGCTCCATGTCCTTTTTATGCTGGAGGCTCCAGAATTGGACACAGTATTCCCAGTGGGGTCTCATGAGAGCCAAGTAAAGGGGAAGAATCACCTCCCTTGCCCAGCTGGCCACTCTTCTTTGGCTGCAGCCCAGGACACGGTTGGCTGCAAGCCCTCATTGCGGGCTCATGTTGAGCTATTCATGCACCATCACCCCCAAGTCCTGGTTGGTCTTCCTTTGTCCACCAAAGCTATGATCCCATTGTAGAAGGCCACCAAACTAGTCAGGCAGGATTTGCCCTTGGCAAAGCTGTCTCGGCTGTCACCAATCACCCCTTTGTTTTCCACATGCCTTCAGGAGGATCTGCTCTGTGAACATGCAAGGCACAGAGGTGAGACTGACTGATCTGTAGTTCCCTGGGTCTTCCTTTTTCCCTTCATGAAAATGGGAGTTATGTTTTCCCTTTTCCAGTCAGTGAGGATTTCTCCAGACTGCCAAGACTTGCCCAATATGATGAACAGAGGCTTTGCAACTTTATCAGCTAGTTCCTTCAGGAGCCATGGATGAATCCCATCAGGTCCCATAGACATTTGCACCTTCAGATCCTTCAGATGGTCACAAACTTGCTCTTCTGCTACAGTGGGGAGATCTTCCTTTTCACTGCCCATGCCTTCACATTCTCTAACTTGGATGGTGTGACCAGAACTTTTGCCTTTGAAGACTGAGGCAAAGTAGTAATTGAGTACCTCAGCCTTTTCTATATCCTGCATGGTTAGGTCTCCAGTTTTCTTCTGCAGTGGGCCCACAGTTTTCCTCATCTTCTTCTTATTGCTGACATACCTGTAGAAACTTTTCCTATTGTTCCTAACATCTCTGGCCAGGTCCAGCTCTCTCTGTACTTTCGTCTTCCTTACCCAATCCTTTGCTTGTCTGACAACTTGTCTGTACTCCCCCCAGGATGTCTTATCCTGCTTCCACTCTCTGTATAACTTGTTTTTACGTTTAACTGTGTTCAGAAGCTCCTTGGTCATCCATACAAGCTTCATGGCCCTCCTGCTAGCCTTCCTCTTTGTTGGGACACATAGCTCCTGAGGAAGTAATCCTTGAATATGGAGCAGCTTTCCTGGGCTACCCTTCCCTCCAGGGTTTTGTCCCACGACACCCTACAAAGCAGTTCCTTGAAGAGACCAAAATCTGGTCTCTTGAAGTCTTTCCTTGCTGTCATAAGCACCCTAAATTAGACTGTGTCATAATCTCTACAGCCTAGTCTCCCATTAAGTCTTACATCATCAACCAATCCGTCTCTGTTGGTGAGAACAAGGTCCAGCATAGCACCTTTTCTTGTTGGTTCCTCTGCCACTTGGAGAAAGCAATTGTCATCAGTGCACTCCAGGAACTTCCTGGATTGCTGGTGCTTTGCTGTGCTGTCCCTCCAGCAGAAACAGGGGTAGTTGAAATTCCCCCATGAGGACCAGGGCCTGTGAGAGCATGGCTGCTCCCATCTGCCTGCAGAGGGCTTCACTCACTCAGCCATCCTGATCTGGTGCCCTGTAGCAGACCCTCACTATGACACCTCCTGCCCCTGTCTTCCCTTTAACCCTGATCTGTAAGGTTTCAGTCGACTCCTCCTCCATCCTCAAGTGGAGCTCCACAGCCTTCAGCTGATCACTGAAGTAGAGGGCAACACCCTCTCTTCTTTTGCCCTGCCTGTCCTTCCTGAAGAGCTTATATCCAACCATCCCAACACTCCAGTCATAGGAGTCATCCCACCATGTCTCAGTGATACCAATAACATTGTAGTCTTGCAGGCACGCACATATCTGAAGTTCCTCCTATTTGTTCTCCAGTATTATCTACATCATAGAACTGATCACAGGCAACCTCACTGACCACTTCAAGAACTTTAAATAAAGACAGAAGCACAATAAACTCATATGATTCCCACACAGGAGGCTTATGCCAGAGCACACTTTGCTGGAGCAGAGAAAACAATCCTATTATAAGTGTCTATACCAAAGTTATTCTGTGAATGAAAAAAATTTAGCTTGCAGACTGTGCAACATGTGTATTAAACGCACCAGTAAAATATTTTTTTTAAATGGAAAATTATTATTGTAAATACATGAATTACATTTACTAATGCTTAGCTCTAAAGACTAAAGACAAAAATATAGTGTCAGATCACACACATAGATTTTAAAGGAGCACAGGATTCTATTTCTTTTGTATTAAGGAAAGCAACATTTATAACTCTGAGGTTGTTACGTCTGTGATGAATAGAAATGAAAAGTTAGATTAACTGACAGTGATGTGAGCCCTGAGGCTAATACATGCTTTTTTCTTTTGCATGCTTAATAATTTAAACAGCAGGAAAAGCAGATTGGGGAAAAAATAACTGACTATTAATTAACAAGGTTCATTTCTCTTTGGAATTCTGCTGGATCTCAGCCAAACACAAAAATACAAGTAAGGTTCATGAACTCCATTTGATTAAAGCTCTAGCTTTATTGCTTACACTGAGATGGATTTCAATTAAGGCTTATTTATCTTCTTTATTCATTATGATATGTTGTAACAATTTTGGTAACATAAATCCCTGTGATTTAACCTCAAGGTTTTACCTTTTCAAGGAAAAGAAGAAAATTACAGAAAAGAGTTGATAAAATGGTATAATATTAAAGATTTGTCTTTACAGCATTGTCTACCTGAATATGCCACCTCTTCTGAAGGGATTTGTAACATTTAGTATTACTTTCTTCAGCTCATAACATGGGGATTTGCATTTTAATATATCCTAAAAGAGAACAAAAAGGAATATAAATATGAAAAAGTTGCAAAACTATCTTAATGTATAATAAATAAGCAAACAGGGAAATATTACACAGAAGACTAGAACCATGTGTTTGAGCACTGGTGACTCAAAATTAACATAATTTATATGCTAGGCTTTGTTGACAGCAAAGAACAGTTAAAGCCTTTTTCTTTTTGAAAATGCATTAAACTTCACTGCATTTTAAATATTTGTCCAAATGATAGCAGAGGGGCAAGAATCAAGCTCTCTCTTTTCCTTTATATTTTTATGTGGGCTGTATTTTTTATTCTTGCCACAAGCTTCTAACATCAGTGTCTACTGCTATGGTATAAAGAGAGGGATGTAAAAATAAATTTTAAAAAAATGTAAAAAAAACCAAATAAACAAAAAACCCTGCATAAAAACCACCTAAGTTCAGAAGAGGATCTATCCAGATCTGCTCAATGAATGTTTGATAATAAATGATGGAACACATGCCCATGTCTACTCTATTTCTGGGATATATCTTAATTCTATAGACTGCCTAAGGTTAAAAAGCACAAATAAACCCAGCAACATGCGACAAAATTTTGCTGTCCATCTACATCTGACAACTGAAATGACTAGGCTGAAGGGACATATCACCACCTCTGCAATGGAATTTCTAAAGCATTCACATGATGAAAGGGCTCCAGATTTATTTTCAGAGCTATCAGTGCAACATTTTAAAATTTATTTACAATATAAGTGCAACTTATGTCCCTAGAAATCCCAGATATTCTTCTAGGCTTTTCACTGCATGTACATAGAGGAAACCTGAAAGTTCTAATGCTAATGCTGATGGTAACTCAAATTTTAATTCTTACCTCAGTTGGCTTTCATTTGATACGCCATACAGCTGAACAATCTTTTTGTAACAGCATTAATCATACACACATAAACTTACAGCAGGCTCAATATGTTTGACTTCAGATTTCAGAGAGAATGTCACTGTGGCACCATCT